GGACGTAAAACACAAACAAACCAAACCTGGCACGTCCTTAAATGACCATAGCTGTTAATAGGACATAAAACACAAACAAACCAAACATGGCACGTCCTTAAATGACCATAGCTGTTAATAGGACATAAAACACAAACAAACCAAACATGGCACGTCCTTAAATGACCATAGCTGTTAATAGGACATAAAACACAAATAAAACCTGGCACGTCCTTTAATGACTATAGCTGTTAATAGGACGTAAAACAAAAACAAACCAAACCTGGCACGTCCTTTAATAACTTTAGCTGTTAATAGGACATAAAACACAAACAAACCAAACATGGCACGTCCTTAAATGACCATTGCTGTTAATAGGACATAAAACACAAACAAACCAAACCTGGCACGTCCTTTAATAACTTTAGCTGTTAATAGGACGTAAAACAAAAACAAACTAAACATGGCACGTCCTTAAATGACCATAGCTGTTAATAGGACGTAAACCACAAACAAACCAAACATGGTACGTCCTTAAATGACCATAGCTGTTAATAGGACTTAAAACGCAAACATACCAAACCTAGCACGTCCTTAAATGACCATAGCTGTTAATAGAACGTAAAACAAAAACAAACCAAACCTGGCACGTCCTTTAATGACCATAGCTGTTAATAGAACGTAAAACAAAAACAAACCAAACCTGGCACGTCCTTAAATGACCATAGCTGTTAATAGGGCGTAAAACGCAAACATACCAAACCTAGCACGTCCTTAAATGACCATAGCTGTTAATAGGGCGTAAAACGCAAACATACCAAACCTAGCACGTCCTTAAATGACCATAGCTGTTAATAGGGCGTAAAACGCAAACATACCAAACCTAGCACGTCCTTAAATGACCATAGCTGTTAATAGAACGTAAAACAAAAACAAACCAAACCTGGCACGTCCTTTAATGAACATAGCTGTTAATAGGACATAAAACACAAACAAACCAAACCGGGCACGTCCTTTAATAACTTTAGCTGTTAATAGGACGTAAAACAAAAACAAACTAAACATGGCACGTCCTTAAATGACCATAGCTGTTAATAGGGCGTAAAACGCAAACATACCAAACCTAGCACGTCCTTAAATGACCATAGCTGTTAATAGGACGTAAAACACAAACAAACCAAACCTGGCACGTCCTTAAATTTGGGAAAATGTGTCTTGGGAATTTTCAGAATTATACCCGAATACTGATTTCTTTTACAAAGTATCATCTAAATTATCCTTGATTATGAATTATAAATATGAGATGTTGCATCATCATCTGAAAATTACAAAATAGTTTAAGAATAGAAAATAATAATTTGAGATTTGGAAATTATAGAGTGTTTTTGTTGAATTAAATAGCAAAGCAACATTTTCCATTGAGAATGCGGTTAAAGTTTTGCCCCAAAATGACCCCAGAAAAAGCTCTGATTTATTCAGAAATCTGATCAGGGAAGGCTGGCTATATATAGTTGGTGACTTATGTAATCTAGTGTATTATTGATTTGATGTACATATGGTCATGATGTGACATAAAAAGACCCTAAAATTATAGCTCCATTAACACAATGTCACTATAACAATGCTGACAGATTTTGTCTTCCTATGGTTCCAGGAAATATAAAAAAAACACTTTTTCCCTTGTACATTTAATCATAATAATACAGTATTTCAATGGTTTTGTTTAATAGTATATAAAGAACATTGGGTATATAAAGAACATTGGTATATAATAAAGAACAATAGGTATATAAAGAACAATGGTATATAATAAAGGACATTGTTATATAAAGACATACATGCCATAAATTTCTGGTGCAAATTAGTGAGATCAGTGATTTTTTTTTGTGAGATTTGGTCAAAATTAGTGAGATTTTTTCCACTGAGTTAGTGAGAAATTTGTGAGACATTTAAAACATAAATTATACTGCTTATAACATAGTATTAAATCATTTTTGTTATTCTGAAGCCTCCAGTTACTTTGTTAGAACCAAAACCGAAGATTTATTGATATTTATAAGGAATTTAGGGAGGTTTACACGTGACATATGGTCCAGATAAAACTATCAACATTTAAAAGTAAATATATCACAATACTTACATCAAAGGCAAAAAAAAAAAAATATATGAAAAAAAGGTAAAACTTATAGAGGGATGTTCGAATTCTTGTTACCAAGGTTAGAATTTTTTTTAACAATATTTAATATTCATTTGACCCTGGGAAATTTTACTGAAAAAGTGTGTGAAATATACTTGGAACACATATTTATGTATTCAATTGCATTGTCTTGTAACAAAATGTGGTGCTACACCTTTTTCATAAGGAGTCTTAAAAAGTAAATTCACACATTCTTAAAGTTATTTGAATAGATATACTTGCATATATAATATACCAGGAAACTTGGATTCAAAATCTTTAAAATGGATTTAACCCTTTCATCACTGTAAACCATAATGGGCTCATCCATATCAATGCATAGTAGAGTCTACTAAAATTACATAGTGACAAAAGGGAAATGTTCATAGGATTATTGTTTGTGGTCTGTATGTGAATTTGTAGTTAAAATGAATTTAGGGAACAGAACTGCAAGCTCTCTCCTCAGAACCCTGTGACATCAGAACTGTAAGCTTTCTCCTCAGGACCCTGTGACATCAGAACTGTAAGCTCTCTCCTCAGGACCCTGTGAAATCAGAACTGTAAGCTCTCTCCTCATGACCATGTGACATCAGAATTGTAAGCTCTCTCCTCAGGACCCTGTGACATCAGAACTGTAAGCTCTCTCCTCAGGACCCTGTGACATCCTGCTCTGTTAATGTGTACAGAACAGGGTTTTAAGCTGATAAGTAAATATACCTGAGTATAGCTATATGCATACATCAGATAATTAGAAACACAGGATCAACACATGTCAGGGTCGTAATCTGTTGTGTCTAAACCATGATTAGCATTCACGGAAAAGACAGGAAAAGACAATTCTCGGACTTATGGTCAGGACAACTATGACCTCACAAAAAGCTCAGACACATCTGTGAGTTGCTTTAGGGAAGAAGAACCCTATTGGTTTTGGGAGTGGTCTACCAAGTACTTAGGTCACACATGTACAGATATTACTAGAAACAGAACTTCATGGAATGAATCGCCTGTCATAATGTTAACATAACAAACAGTTGCACAAGGATCATATTTACTTATAGTACACATGTGTATGGGTTTTCCTAGAAAACAGGAAGAACCCTATTGATTTTGTGTATGGTTCATGGAAAGTCAAGGTTGATGACATCACTGTTACTAAAAACAGATTTTCTGTCCTAATCTTATAATAATAAACTTCAGTACAACTGATCTCATGAAGGCAAGCTCAAATTATTTGTAAATATACATATACATTGTACCTGATAGACCTTTATATTTGTAAATACAGACCTGATAGACCTTTATATTTGTAAATACAGACCTGATATACCTTTATATTTGTAAATAACCAGACCCGATATACCTTTATATTTGTAAATATACATATACCCGATAGACCTTTATATTTGTAAATATACATATACCCGATATACCTTTATATTTGTAAATATACAGACCCGATATACCTTTATATTTGTAAATAACCAGACCTGATAGACCTTTATATTTGTAAATAACCAGACCTGATATACCTTTATATTTATAAATAACCAGACCTGATATACCTTTATATTTGTAAATATACATATACCTGATAGACCTTTATATTTGTAAATAAAGACCTGATATACCTTTATATTTGTAAATAACCAGACCTGATATACCTTTATATTTGTAAATAACCAGACCTGATATACCTTTATATTTGTAAATACAGACCTGATAGACCTTTATATTTGTAAATACAGACCTGATAGACCTTTATATTTGTAAATACAGACCTGATATACCTTTATATTTGTAAATAACCAGACCTGATATACCTTTATATTTGTAAATAACCAGGCCTGATAGACCTTTATATTTGTAAATAACCAGACCTGATATACCTTTATATTTGTAAATAACCAGACCTGATATACCTTTATATTTGTAAATACAGACCTGATAGACCTTTATATTTGTAAATACAGACCTGATAGACCTTTATATTTGTAAATACAGACCTGATAGACCTTTATATTTGTAAATACAGACCTGATATACCTTTATATTTGTAAATAACCAGGCCTGATAGACCTTTATATTTGTAAATAACCAGGCCTGATAGACCTTTATATTTGTAAATATACAGGCCTGATAGACCTTTATATTTGTAAATAACCAGACCTGATATACCTTTATATTTGTAAATAACCAGACCTGATAGACCTTTATATTTGTAAATACAGACCTGATATACCTTTATATTTATAAATAACCAGACCTGATAGACTTTTATATTTGTAAATAACCAGGCCTGATAGACCTTTATATTTGTAAATAACCAGACCTGATAGACCTTTATATTTGTAAATATACAAACCTGATATACCTTTATATTTGTAAATATACAGACCTGATATTTTATATACTTTTGTGAGTGAAGCTATACAAACCTTATAGGCATTTTGTTGTTGTTATGATTATTAAACACCTGGCCAGCCCCTTTCATATCTGTAAGGCATGTGTCATGCAGTGAGACATCAGTATATATATATTATTCTACACATTATATATATATATATAACATATATACAGTGCATGTTGTTCTTTGTGAAGTCATGGAATAATTTGAATGTGCTTTTTATTATTCAATGTTAAATTAATCTATTTTTACCCTGTGAATAAATGTTCAAATTTCAAAGTTTTAAATTTCATAAAAGCTTTATTTGTTTTGCCAAGCGAATCTAATTGTACACTTGAAAAGACTCCATTAAAAACTCCACCGCTGGCCACAGTAAATCAGTCAGACACATAGTGCCCCGTCCTTGTTGTTGTTGTTCTAGAATTTATTTGTATTTTCCAGAAATCACAAGGTGTTTGAGAAAAGGAGTGAAGGCAATCCAATAGGATCCGATAACACGACATCAGGTAAAACCACAACTTTTCATTTTCCAAGCTCTTCTGTTTCTGAAATGGATACATCATACAATTTCCAAACCAAACTTTTGTTGTATATTAACTATGACAAGGATATCAAAACATTGTGATTTTAGTGTTCAGTGATCTAGAAGCATGACGAACACTACACCTGCACCATTAAAAGTTATTTACCTGTCAGGGGCAGGGTATACTTTTATTTTTATTTTATTTTTAAAAACATTGGCAAATTCCCAAGTGTTTCATTATATTGATCAACTACTCATTACTGATGATACGTACAAGTCACTTAATTGCAGGTCTTAAGTATTTTCTGCAATACCAGTACAAATTGTCCTCAATAACTCTATGCCCTAGTTTTCCATTTTATGCCATTTCCAAAAGTGTCTAAGTGTTTTCTGACATATATATTTATTATTTCCATGTTGAAAAAATTCTAGTTCTGATTTCCATGGTATTTCATGTTCATTTCCCATTATATTCCATAATATGCCATGGTATTTAATGACAGTTGTCTACATGGCATTTTTGTCATGACAGCATGTGGAAATCACCAAGGCATTCCATGGCATAAATTAATTAACCCTTTCACCACTGTAGACCATAATGGACTCATCCAGATCCATGTATGGTAGAGTCTACTAAAGTTACCTAGGGGTGAATTTAGGGTTAACATGGATATGATGGAAATGTGAGAGAAGTGTGACTGGTGCTAGGTTTGTACTATTCCATTAGTCAGTCTCCAGGGCATACCAGAAACTTTCTCACCTTCAGTTAATTTTGTACCGGAATACTTTTTGGAATAAGTTTTGCTTCTTAATATAGAATCTTCACTAAAATATAGAGAGAGTTATGTCCCTTGGTTTCCATGCATCGCTTAGTCCAGTGCCTTTCTGGTATTCTCTATCACCTAAATTGGTCAAATCTGTATATAATCACTTATAGGATGTTTTGTCTTGGATATCCCTGAGGCAAGTTCAAACATGGGATTCATCAGTCATAGGTCAAAGTCACTGTTACTAAAAATAGAATTTAAAAATCACACTGTTAAGTGATTATTTAAAGGTACTATATGCCTGCAGCAAACCTTCCAGCTTGACAAAGCTGACATTTTACAATTTTTACATAGCAAAAGGTATCAACTGCTCTCTGTGTGTGAAACATAAAGGAATTAAATTTGATATTGCTTACATACCCTTAGGAATTAGATGATTTACATAATGTCATGCACGACCCATTGGGGCCCTTTAAAATAAAGATGTTTCTTGTCAAGTTTTGGCACGCTTTTTCTGCTATTATGATAATTTTCAGCTCACCTGGCACAAATTTGAGTCATTGCAATTTTAAATCTTTAAACAACATAAATATAATATTTATTAACTTATATGACTTCAATAAGTGTCACACTGGAATCAGCTCTCATGTGCCCGACAGAGTTATGATGACCGTTTGTATTTTATTGAAACCAATATTTTACCAGAGGTGGGGGACCATATGTGTTTCTCGTAATACATGACCAACTAAAAGTTACCATAGACAATACATACTTTGAATCAAAACCATTAAAAGGAGCCTGTCCCCTGAAGGTGACTGTGTTGTATGTACAGTAACAAACTTCTACATACCAGGGGGTATTTTTTGTAGTGTTGCCGGGTTACGTAATCATTAAGTTTACCATCATGTACGTGTCTAACAAGGGATGTTTTAGATGTGTCGTGTTTTATTTCTTGTGTTAAGAAAACGAGATAAATTTGGGCGTCACTTTGTTTTATCTCCACAAAAAATGCTGTATTCACAATGTAAATGACTGTATCATATCAAATGAGTGTTGTATGATGTAATAGAAAAGGCCACACCATGTAAATCAATAGTTGTCCTGTATAATGTAATAGAAAAGGCCACACCATGTAAACCAATAGTTGTCCTGTATAATGTAATAGAAAAGGCCTCACCATGTAAATCAATAGTTGTCCTGTATAATGTAATAGAAAAGGCCACACCATGTAAACCAATAGTTGTCCTGTATAATGTAATAGAAAAGGCCTCACCATGTAAATCAATAGTTGTCCTGTATAATGTAGAAAAGTCCACACCATGTAAAACAATTGTTGTCCTGTATAATGTAGAGCAGGCCACACCAAGTAAAACAATAGTTGTCCTGTAAAATGTAGAAAAGGCCACACCATGTAAAACAATTGTTGTCCTGTATAATGTAGAGAAGGCCACACCATGTAAACCAATAGTTGTCCTGTATAATGTAATAGAAAAGGCCTCACCATGTAAATCAATAGTTGTCCTGTATAATGTAGAAACGGCCACACCATGTAAAACAATAGTTGTCCTGTATAATGTAGAAAAGGACACACCATGTAAAACAATAGTTGTCCTGTATAATGTAGAAACGGCCACACCATGTAAAACAATAGTTGTCCTGTATAATGTAGAAACGGCCACACCATGTAAAACAATAGTTGTCCTGTATAATGTAGAAAAGTCCACACCATGTAAAACAATAGTTGTCCTGTATAATGTAGAAACGGCCACACCATGTAAAACAATAGTTGTCCTGTATAATGTAGAAAATGCCACACCATGTAAAACAATAGTTGTCCTGTATAATGTAGAAAAGGCCACACCATGTAAAACAATAGTTGTCCTGTATAATGTAGAGCAGGCCACACCAAGTAAAACAATAGTTGTCCTGTATAATGTAGAAAAGGCCACACCATGTAAAACAATAGTTGTCCTGTATAACGTAGAAAAGGTCACACCATGTAAAACAATAGTTGTCATGTATGAATATTTACAAATGTTTGAAAAAAGATCTGACAATTTTTTAGATTTGATAAGTTGGTGAATTAGAAATCTTTCAAAGTTGCTTTGACAATATTGCATGGTATTTTGACACATCAAATGCTGAGAATGACAGCCGAGGAAAACGTCTGGGCCCGACAGTTGATAGGTTTCTCTTTGCTATCTTAAATGTTAAACACCACAGACTGTAGAAATATAGTAGTGACAGGTGTCTTCACCTCCATCTCCTGTCAGTCAGATGATAAATTGACACCACACATTATTCGTATTTAGAGTATCATTAAGAGGGCCAGAATTATTTCTTGGGCGACCTTGAGCCAAGGGGAATAAATGAAGGGTGTGGCCCCTTTGGTCAGAGGTACAGACCCCAATAGGTGAACATGAGGGGGAAGAGGTAAATCTGCAAAATCCTACTTATTGAATATTGGTGAAGTGGTCTTAATCTAAACAAGTCTAGAGTATCCTTGGGCCAAAGGGACTCAGCTTTGTGTAAATGAAGCGTGTAGTCCTCCTCCCAAGGGGCGGGGCAAAATAACGGATAATATGGGTTACTGTTGTAGGTTAATATACAAAATTATTTTCCTTGATCATGAATACTGGTTAAAGGAATTAAACCTCATTTTGTGTTGAGCATCCTGGAGCCTCGGTGACACATCATTGTACAAGGGGAGGGTATAGCTAGCCTGTGGACATAAGCTAGGGGATAATATCAGTAGGTCTCCAATGGGGAATATCATGAGGTAAATACTGTGATTATGGATAAAATAAACTTATTATATTAAGAAGTTGTTGAAGGAAACAAAATAATTATAAGAAGGCATTTGGTAAACTTATCCTAGAAAATAATTGTTAAAAAACCTGATGTTTTTTAATAAATGTTAATTGTGAGATGCATTATGGTAATTATAAAGTGCTTACATTTTGAGATTGATAAAATGCATATTCATTTAAAATTGAAGTAGGATTCCAAAATCTATCATAAATGCTAAAATCATAGTTATGCAAAATTAGCAATCATACAACAGGTTAATGCATGAAATATGGTTTTGAAATCCATTTATCAGTTTCATATGAAAAAACAACAGCAGGCAAGTTGCTAAAGCCCCCTGGGCCTCTTGTTAATTTATTATTTATAAGTTAGTGAGCAAACACTTGATTTCCTGTTCCCTTACGTCTATATCTTATTAGCTCGAAGAGCCAAGTGAGCTTATGAGGTGGTGCGGCGTCCGTCGGTCAGCCGGCCGGCGTCTGTCATCCATCGTCCATCCGGTGTCAATATTATAATTTAAACAACTTCTTAATAACCAAGAGGCCTAGGGTGATGATATTTGGCAAGAAGCAAACTGGGATGAAGGGCTGCCAAGTTTGTTCAAATAAATGACCTTATTTTCAAGGTCACAGGGGTCAAAAATGTTTAAAACCTTTAAACAACTTCTCCTGAATTACCAAGAGGCCTAGGGTTATGATATTTATGCAATTGCCAGTTAGATGCGCTGGGATGAAGGGCTACCGATTTTGTTCAAATGAATGACCTTCTCTCATATTCAAGGTCACAGGAATCAAATATGTTTAAATCTTTAAATGACTTGTTCTCAATATTCAAAAGGTCCAGGGTAATGATATTTAGCTAGAAGTATGCTGGGACGGGAGGCTATAAACTCTGTTCAACTTAATATCCTTGTTCGACTTTCAAGGTCACAGGCGTCATATGTTTACATCATTTAATAGATTCTAATGAATTGAACACAGGTATTTTGCCTGTAGCTGTACAGTAGTCCACTTTTAAGATTACAAGTGTGAGATTAATACCAGGTGAGCGATTCAGGCCCATTGGGCCTCTTGTATTTAAAATAGATGGACAATATTGAATCATTGACTTTAATAAACAAAATTGTGACTTTTCATGTAAACAATCTGAATGTCCAATAAATCAATCAGGTAAAAAATATTATTTAATTGAATACAAATAATTCATCAAACCCTGACCACACTTTGTCAGCTAGCACAGCCAGAACCCTCCGAGGGTGGTCATTCATTATGCATACAAGTAAGAACTTTTCTAAGATTAGGATCACGGTTGTGACAGGCGTTTGTTGCGTTTTATGACATAATCATGCATGTATATTTAATATATATGGCTAGCCATCTACCAAGGATGTTTCTACAGGTGTAAATGT